GTAAATACCATGGAAGGGAAATAAATTAACCAGTCGACAAGTATCAGTTCTAAGAGTTGTTCAACTCAGATTGTTTGATAATTCGATCTATCGACATAGATTGTAATGTTTTGAATCTTCATCTCTTCCTTATCATTTCAAATCATATTATGAATAACTGATGATTCTGTCAGTTAATGAACTCTTCCAATAGTGATTCTAACTTCCGGCATTCTATCGGCATGTTGAAGATCCGTGTTTCTCTGCTTGATAAGATTATCCAGTATCTCTGAATAATATCTGTAAACACTAGCGTGTTCCCTAATCACATGAATATTTTATCTGATTTTCGATTTGAATTATGTTCAGATACCTGACCTAGATTCTATTCTGATTTATGATATGGATTCTATTCTGATATCTTATCTGAATTCTGTTTTGATTTATGATATATCCATTTATTGACGGAAAAATGTTTTATTGGGGGGCTATTATTGGAGGAAGTATATTTGCAGGCTAATCGGCTTTGTGCTCAGGGCCTTATTGGTTGTGCAAGGTGTATGGTTATGGGGAACCTACACAAACATATTGTGAAAGGATGGGGGTAGTGTTCATGTTTTAAAAATTAAAAATGTGTTTTAAAAAGATCTGTATCTTTTTACTGGTTTTATGGGAACACACTAGATAACCTATTCTGACCTCCTCAACTCAGTCATCAAAAATATTTCCCTGAACTAAACGCTTGCTATCTGTTACTACCTAAAATATCCGTAGAATCTTCGCTCAGTATAAAGATCTATAGATGTCTAAACCAATAAAGAAATATATGTTTATCTGTATCTGTACATTCTTCAGCATAATCTGGTAGTTCTGTATTACTGAGCTTTCCAAAGCTCACTCTCTATTACTCACCTTTTCAGGTTAAAAGGATTGAACCAGTACAACTATCGACATCAGTAAGGGAGTTCTTCCGGCGTTGCTTGCAGAGTATAGTACATGTGATTAGGGGGCATATAGGTTGTATTTTGTTTTATATACGAGTCTGAAAAAATATATTTTATTTTTTAATACTGGTAAAATTTACTTTTGTATTTACAAATGATTTTATGATTTTACATGTTTTAATAAAAGTTTTCAATTTTTCTGAGATTTTTACGGTGGGTCGCTCCAGTGGCCATAATGTGACACCCCATATCATATCGGGTTACCCTCATTGGTCTAAGGGGGTTACAAAAAAAGGATAAGCCATTTATTGTTGGTGTAGCTTTTGAAATGATGACATCACCGGTCCATGTAAAGAAACACAAAATGATCTCATCCCTTGATTAGCTTTCATCTAAGAGCCATCATCTCTTCAATATTTGTCAAACAAACACAACCCATGTGAGCCGTTGATGGAGGGTTATATCCGACGGCTAGCAGCTTGCCACGTCACCCATCCAAGTGAAGAAGCACAAATGAATCTAAACCTGACTTAATCAAACATGCCCATATTTAAATTTCCAAACTTAAATTTCCAAATTTAATTAACTTGTCAAACAAGATCACTTTGGATTCTTTGATTTCTTTATTTGGAAAAAATGTCAAGACTTTAGTTAATTTTTAATTAAAATGTCTATATCTGATCAATTTTATGATATATGTTATATATTGTTTAATAATTGTTTGGCAAACTCTTAATTATAATTTAACTATTAGGTATTAGTTGCTATTATTTTAACTTTATAAAAAAGGTTCTTGACTTGTAAATTAAGTTGGATTTTATAATCACAATTCTTCAACCATTAATTACTATTATTATTATTATTATTATTATTATTATTATTATATTATTATATTATAAATATTATTTATGAGCCCAATGCTGCTCAAACCCTAGTGTACCATTTCCTTGGTACCCACCGATTTTTTTGGTGGGAGAGATTTTTTTAGTTTGAATTTCAAAAAAGGATAAAGCATTTATTGTTGGTGTAGCTTTTGAGGTAATGACATCACCAATCCATGTAAAGAAACACAAAATGATCTCATCCCTTAATTAGCTTTGATTCAAGGACCATCATCTCTTCAATCCTTGTCAAACAAACACAACCCATGTGAACCATTGACGAAGGGTTAGATCCAAGGGTTAGGAGCTTACAACGTCATCCATCCAAGTGAAGAAGCACAAATGAATCCAAACCCGCCTTAATCAAACATGTCCATATTTAAATTTCCAAATTTCTTGTCAAACAATATCACATTTGGATTCTTTAATTTCTTTATTTGGAAAAATGTCAAGACTATTGTGAATTGTTAATTAAAATGTCTATATCTGATCAATTTTATGGTATATGTTATATATTGTTTAAGAATTGTTTGGGAAACTGTTAGATATAATTTATGTATTAGGTGTTAGTTGCTATTATTTTAACTTTATGAAAAAAAGTTCTTGACTTGTGAATTAAGTTGGATTCGATATCCAACGATTTTTTATATTAATTTGATATAAAATGTATATATTTTAATCAAACGTTTTAAATGTTAATATATTTTTTAATTTAGAGTGCATTATTTTTATGTAATGAAAGATTATTCAAGTAATCTAAATTTTGAAATGACTTTATTTGATTTGATTTGGCAACATTATCGTATGATAATAGGAATATAAAATTAAACTCATTCAATAGCCTCGATGGTCGAAGTGAGTGTTATTTTCCTTTGAGAATTTGTGTTCAAGTAGCTGAGTTTGCAGAGTGCACATGCATTATCAATAACTAAAAAAATCTTGAACATATGTTATTTTATAATTACTCTAGACTATTAAAATAATAAAATAATAGTAATATAAAACTTTTAATAGTTGACCAAGTTTAGGGATAGATAGATAATATATTACCTCTAATTTCTTGGATAATGTTAGGTTCTATGAAAATACTATTGATATTTAGATAAATTTGTCCTTCAAAATTATAAATTTTATTAACCTGGTCATTTAAGTCAAATGAAATATTAAATGAAAAAAATTGGATCACGAATTACACACATATATATGCATATATTGATAATACAGCTTAATTATATTAATGGTATTTGAAATTATTTTTAAATATTTTTATATTAATTACACTAATAACATGATAAATTTAAAATTTAGGTTGAGTCCAATAAAAATAGTTTTACAAATGGTCTATCATATATTTTAATTTAGGGTTTGTTGGTTTCACTAGAAATAAATTTTGAAAAATAACTTTTGAACCATGATTTAGATATTTTGAAAAATAACCTTTGAAAATTATTTTCTGGTGCTTAGTTGATGTTGTATAAAATATTTGTTGTTGTTTGGTAAATTTTTTAAATAGATATTAGGGATTATGGTTTGATTTGAGGTTGTCTACGATGACTCCTCTTGTATTCTTCTTCTCTTGACATTGGTGAATTTTCTCCTCTTCTGCCTGTGGTTTTTCCTGAAAGAGGTTTTCACGTAAAAACTTGGTGTCTCTTTTATTAGGCGATCATTATGCATATCGTTATCTTCTAACAAATTAGATTTGTAACACCATTTCACCGATGTGGGTGACCTGATTCGATCCAAGGTGTCACATTATGGCCACTGGAGCGACCCACAATAAAAATCCAAGATAAATTTAAAATTTTTGTTAATCCATTTAACCGTAAAATAATTTATAGATAAAATATAAGTTCTGAAAATCATTTATATATTAAAATAAAATCCTCTAATATCCAATAGTAAAACAAGTTTCAAACTCGAATATAAACAGAACACAACCTACATGCTCCCAATTAGATGCACTATACTCCGCAAGCAACGCCGGTGGAACCCGTTTACTGATGTCGGTATAAGCACAAAATCAAACTCTTTAACTTGAAATGGCAAGTAATAGAATGAGCTTTGGAAAGCTCAGTAATACAAAACTACGAGATGAATGCAATAAGTCATTGGTGTATGGTAAAGCATAGATTTCCTGGACATCATTAGATTCTATCGATGATTTCAGATTTCATTAGCTATGTCTTCAGTTACAAAGAGGGATTGACGGTCCGAAGGAAGTATTCACAGAGACATATTCAGAAGATTAAATTGAGGAGTCTAGTGTGTTCCAACAAAATAGAGAAATGTATACAAATCCTTTAAAAACATTAGTAGTTTAAAACATATTTCAAAACCACAATAATACCCTCAAACCGAACACCGATATGCAGTTCCCCATAACTGCATCCATAAGGACTTACCCTAGGCACACAGCAAATGAGCCACCCTAAGGGAGTACCTTGAGGCTTGTGGGCCTACCCAAGGGTCTCCTTATGTCTGTAAGGAATTACCAGCTTGATCAAAGCTGAACCTCCATACCCAGTATATATCAGATTGAGCAGTAACTTTAATATCAAAATCATGATACAGTAGAATGTTGTAAAATGACAATGTGGTTATTTAAATCTGATGAATGCCCTCCATCCGTACACCAAAATACAATCCCCTACTAAGGGAGTGCCTTGGGGGCTTAGAGCCTACCTAAGGAATACCTTAGGTCCGTAAGGAATTACCAGCTTGATCAGAGTTGAACCTTCATACTCTAGCCTACCCAGATAGTGTCCCAATAAAACAGTTCAAGTAGTAACCAATAGATTCCATGATCTTAAAACGATAATAAAATGAAAATGTAAACATCATACATTGTAACAGAATAAACATTAAGCATCTAATTTGACTGGAAAAGGTTTTAAACACTTAAAATAAATAAAATATAATTTAAACACTTATTTTTTTATTAAGATCCAAAAATATGAGAAATAGTTCCAAACCAAACTATATTACTTTTATTTTATTCCCAATACATGCATTTTTTTATTAGGCTTATATCACAAATATATACCTAAAGTATATCATCTTTATCATTCAAATACATATAAAGTATTTTCTTGTCAAAGTAAGTATCTAAACTTATATTTTTGGTAAAAAAAGGCACTTAAAGTATTTTTTTAGTCAAAATAGGTATTAAAAATCCAATCTTTTTTACATAAGTACCTAAAATATTCTTTAATTAATGTCATGTGTCAACTGTTTTACAACTTAGATGAAAAAGATTAAATACTTTAAGTACCTATTTTGACCAACAAATATTTTAGGTACTTATTTTGACCAAAAGGATAAGTTTAATTACTTACTTTGACAAAAAATATTTTAGATACTTGGATGAAAAATGGTATACTTTAATTACTTATTTGTAATATAAACTTTTTACTATTCACTGGGGAACCACCACTAGATCATATGCAGGGAAGAAGTGGCAAACTTCGGATTCCCCTGGATTAAGCCCCAGACGAATGAGTGCTTTACTCTCGACACTCCATGGGGAGCTATCCATGTGACAAAGGAAAACGGCATCCACCCAATCACCGTTCTCACCTCTGAGGGAAACCATGAACAATTTGTTATCAGTATTCACTTGGAAATGGCAATAGTACACTGCATAAGGATATGGCTCTGCATGACATGGTATCACCTTTCCAGTTAATATCTCTTTCGATTCCATTATAGTATAGTTTTGGAGAGTTGGAGTCGAGCTCGAAATAAGAGACGATCTTACGATACGGATGTCCGAGTCAGATCCGATGATGCCACGGGCATAATTGGTCAGGGATTCGAAAGAGGTAAGACAGGCCGTGGCCTCTCCTGCGGGGGGATCCCTCTCACAGAACTTAAGAGTCTGCTCTATTGCCGTGGCTTGCTTGGAACCAGGGAAGACGGAGAAGTATCGATGAAGCTCGGGAATGGCCTTGGATGAGAAAGGAATGTGATGGGTTTTTTCTCTTGGAAGGAATTGGTAAGGGGATAGATCTTTTATGTAGGGAAAAGAGACTGGTATCGTTTTCCCGACCTGAATATCCTTCATGACAGTAAACGTGGGATCATAATTGGCCAGGCTTACTGTATTCATGTGGAAGTGTGATGAGGAATGACCATCGTCTTCTTTTTGATCAACCAAATCCATGCTGGGGAGTCGCAGAACATTGGAGGATACACCAGGATCAAGCTGCCAGAAAAAAAATTGATTAATATACATCATCGTTGATCAATGATCCGTTTTAGGAACAAACTCATAATTTTATGTTAGGGAGTTAACTTCGAACATTTTAGAGGATGAACTTTAATTATTAATAGAAATACAAAGAAAATATCTAAATTATACGAGAACTTAAAATTTTCAAGACTTCGATTAATTCATTCTTGATTCTAATATATTATGAGAAACACAATATCTTAAGATCATAAGATGCACAAAGTGTATTTGAAGAATAATTACCGTGAGAAAAAGTAGAAGGAAGATGCAAGTAACAAATTCATTGCCCATTCTTTCTTCAAATTTGTCCACCCTTTCACCTTTGTTCTCCGTTTATAAAGGAGTGAGCTGATTTCGGATGGTACGAATGAAAAACACAAAAGGGTAAACTATCAAAATGGTCACTTTTGTTTCGTAAGTATCCCCTTTTGATCATTGAATTTTAAAAAATAATATTCTTGTCACTTATGTTATCAATTTATAATTTTTTGTCACTTGTGTAGTTGTGTTATCGATTTATAATGTTTTAATCAATATAACGTTAAATGTGGTTAGTTTGATGATGTGGTACATTATTTTAAAAAGAGTGTAATTTTTAATTTGAGGTTAATTTTAAATTTAATCCTTAAACTTTACGTAAAATACTAATTTGACCCATAACTTTAAATACCATTTTATCTCTAAATTATTTTTGGAACGTTACCGTTTTATTAAGTTTTGGTCAGTTAGACGTTGGGCCGTAAACGAGCCGATTTGAGCTCGACTCGAAAACTCGCAAGCTAAAAATTATCAAGCTCAGCTCAAACTCGAAATATAATATTGAAACTCGACTCGAACTTGAAAAGGCTCGAACTCGAAAAGGCTCGAACTCATAAAAATTTCAGGAGCTCGATTGAAGCTCGAACTCAAACTCGAATTTGAACCTACAAAAATCTTATATTCATTTAAAAATATATTTTTAAAAATTTATAATTATCAATAATGTATTTTTAATATATTTTTAATAATGTAATTTTAAAATATCTAAAATTATAATATAACATTTTTTTCGAGTAGCTTGCGAGCTTTTCGAATCGAGTATTAAGTAGCTCGTTTTAGCTCGTTAAGAAGTCGAGTCGGGTTTGAGCCCGAGTCGAGTTCATTCGATTCGAGTGTTGATCGAGATTTGACTGAGTCAATCTCGAGTAGCTTGCGATCTGTCTCGTCTCATTTATAACCCTACTTAGACGTTAAATGTCATTAGTTTGATAACGTGACACATTAATAAAATGATTTCATTTTATAATCTATCTCTTCTTCTTGGTAGCTTGATCTAAGGTAAGAACTTTTTTGTCCAACATTCCTAGTCCAAGTTTACAAAGATAAAGATTATAATCTCCTCACTTAAAACTTCAATTCAAGCTCTCTTTCTATAAGTTTGGCCATGGTGAGGGTTTATAATAGATTTTAGAACCCTTGAACTTAATCAACCAATTTTGACTAGATTTCAGTATCTAGGAAGTTTTTATGACTTCTTTTCAAGTTCATAGATAAGTTAATAACTCATTTCTTGCTTGTTGATTAGTGAGAGAAGTGGGACAAAGCTCCAAAGATAAGAACAATGAAAAATTTGTGTTTGGTTAAGCTAAGAGAGATTCTAGCTGCTTTGGAGTAATGTATCACACTTCTAACTCATCTATAACACTTGTAGATCAACATGTGTAGCTTGTTTGCTTGTATAAATGCATGTAGTATAATGTGTACATTTTGCATGGGTATTGGTTTGAGAAGGATTTGATGTTATTATGCATAAAAATGATGGATTATGGCCTATATGATTCTCGTAAGCTTTAAACATCACCAGTAGTCCTTAGATATGTGATTGGGGAGAGTTGGGAAGGGATTCTCATAAAAAAAAACAAGATATTTGTGTTCTTGAGTAATGATACTAAATGATCTAATATTGTTCATACGAGGGTCAAGATTTGAGATGTTGGTTGGATAGTTTCGATACAATGTTCTTGAGGTATCAATAATGTACGTCGAGTGTCGCTACCAAAGGTAGTGATATCAATACATGGTTTATTTTTCAAACTTCATGGCTTAAATTGATATTGATACTTAGGGTTAGTATTGGTACCATCAGGTGAGTATCAATACTCTGGATATGGGTATTTATATTGGGTCTATTTTTGCAAATTTTGAGAGCTATTTTGGTATTGATACATCTGAAGGGTAGTATTAAAACTTGTGTGGAAGAATCAATACCATGGGTATTAAATTGAACTTTATGGAGTTATCAGGTACCGATACTTAGGGTAAGTATTGATACCTTAGGTTTGGTATCAATACCCAAAGGAAGGTATCGATATCACTTTGGAGGAATAGTTAGAAAACTTTGTTTTAATGAAAGACTTGATCGCTTGTAAATGTATATGCTAAGGCAAGCAATTTTGTGCAAGTATACACAGTTGAATCAAGTAATAAAGGGTAAGTGAGTTATCGTCTCCTCATGGATTGGTAGGGATTTTGATGTTTCACCACAACTAGAACTAGGTGTCACGAGCTAGTTCCTGAATTCTTGTCAAAATAGAAAAACAATTAGCAATGGATTATACGAACATGTGTCAAAGCGTTACTAAAGCAAAAGAATATTATGAAGTATGGTTGTAGAAAAGTTTGGTCGAGGTAAAGTAAATATGCAAAAGTAACAATTTAAAATAGACAAGGCAAAGAAAAGTGTTGATTCAAAATAACCTCACATATTCAGACTTTTCACAGAGCACTCAGGTTAGTCTTTTGCTATGACAATAAATTATTCTAAGTTTGGAAGGATTTGTTATGATATGTTTAGGCTGCCTGACATGATTACTGAGTATTCTAAGACAGTTGCTATGGCAATACTACTCAGCGTAAACTACAACCCTTGGTTTGTCAGACTGTTGTTATAGCAATATTCCTCAGTGTGAACTATAGTCGTTGTTTATCCCACTCAAGCGTCTATCTCTTTTAGTCTATTGAAACCTTCTCCTTATCTCTAAGGTAGGCAGGTTAGAACATCACCATCCCAAATCCATTCCATTGTTCACGTAGATTTGTCTTAATTCTCTCGAATCTAAGAATCAATTTCTAGAAAAGCGACAATCTCTCAAAAGCTCTTACAATGTCCAACAGTGTTTCACCTAAGCACCAGGCAATCTCTCGAAAGCTCTTACAATGTCAAGGTAAAATATTGAAACAATGAACAAAAAAGACATAAGAAAAATCATAATGCATCATTCATAAACCATAAAATAATTATCTCGGCAAAAAAAAACCAACACCAAGTAAAGCAATTCATGGTGTTGCCAAAGACTCATCCAAGATTATCATCATTTAATACAAAACCCATAAAAATTAAAAAATTTAGAACAAAGAAAGAACGAATCCCAAAATAGGGGGTTCTACAGTGACATCTCTGACCAACACCTCGTCTGCTCTGGCGGCCAGCCTCTCTCGAGGCCTGACCGCCACTCTACTATAGCCTGGCTATGGAGGACACCAAGGATGGTGGGTTGGAGAATGGTGGAAGGTAATGCACTGCAGCTGTTTACTCCACGCCTCAAGTAAATTTTCTTCTTTGCCTCCTTTTTTTGATGGTTGTGACTGGGTATTTATTAAGAGAATTTTCCTAGGGTTTTGCATAATTAAATATTCCCTAAATATCCGTGTTAAATTGTCCAAGCTATAGATGGAAAGGCGGCTGGATATTGTAAGAATCTTGGGGGCTTGATTGCACGTGAGGTCAGTCGTACAGCTGGCAGGTGACATAAGCAATTCGTCAGATTCGCTTCAGACTTGTAAGATAAATATGTTCCTCACTGTCTTTGTCTTCTCTGTTCCACTGGCCCTTGCAAAATATATTATCACGACTGAAATGTTCCTCCTAAGTCAATTCCTGCACACACAATCCACAAAAGCTCTTTCTCCTCAACAGCATCAGTCACACCAAATAAATCTTGCCTAGGCAAAACGTATCCACCATATGCAATTATAACCTAAATGCAACTAAATGCAACTTATATTCTATGACAACATTGTTTATACGAGCAATAACTTAAGTAAAAAGACTAAAAAATAGAGTCTTTTTATGGAGTTATCATGTACTGATACTTAGGGTAAGTATTGATACCTTAGGTTTGGTATCAATACCAAAAGGTAGGTATCGATACCAACTTGGAGGAAAGGTTAGAAAACTTTGTTTCAATGAAATACTTGAGTAAGAAGTTTAGAGATGTCTTGAACACTATTAAAAGCTTGAAAGTGGAAACATTGATTAAATGTATGCGATTAAACATAAGAATATTATGAGGTAAGATTCTATTAGACTTATGCGTTTGTTTAACACTCGGGAAACGTTAAGGACACCCAAGTTATTTGTGTATGAAAATCATCTTGTTTGTATGATAAATATTTGAATATATCCAAATTAGTATTATGGTATATATAATGCTAGTCAGATGTTACTCCAATGTTCATGTTACCCAAACTTATCTAGAATACTCTAGAGAAATAGACTACTCACGTATTAGATGTTGATGCTATGTGACCTAGATCTTATCTATAGTACCTTTATCATAAGCTAGAGGGGTGTGAGTCTCGTGATGCTAAATGACCTCGGACTACATCATGATGCTTAGTTATGTTTTGTACGCGTGATGCATATATATTGTTAATAACTATACTTGTTGTCATGCTAATATGATGAATGCATGTAGTATAGTAGAGTTATTTGTGCGACACTAAGCTCATCAGTTCAAAGTTTGAAATATGTTTCCGTCCACATGTTCTTATGTGGAAAGTCGATGAACTTATCGTTGGATTCGAGATTTCATATTGATCGAGCTATTAGAATACGTCTTGGATATTGTCATAGGGTATGCATTATTCATTGACTTTATGTATATTTGAGTGGTAACTTTGTTTTGATATATTTATTATTATATTTTGGGATGTAATGTTTGGAGCTTCCCTTCCAAAACTTAATGCTTGTGGATATTAAACTTATGATTATGGTTATGACTATTATATTGAGTAAATGGTTTAAAAAATGATTAATCACTTTGATGGTTTCACGTGACACTTAATCCTTCAGATTCGAGGTGGATCATATTAGATTATTTTATATATTCATAAAGGATGCTTGAAAGTAGAACATAGATGATCGGTGACGAAGAAGGTGAAGAGAGAGCCAACACAAGGGGTTAGAGTTTCTGCAAAGATGAAGAAAAACATATTGCAAAAGATAAATTTAAAACTTGTCTCTATGTTGTTTTAGATTTACAAAAAGGTTCCTAATTAGTATTTTATCTAAA